GCAAAAAATGCAGTACGCAAATGTACTATTTAGCACCCAAAAAATAGCCATTTAAAAATGCCTAGATGTTGCCCACTGATCTACAAGAACAGGATTAAAGTAATGTGCCTGGCACACATGCAGTTGCAAGTGCACTGCACTCTCTGTGGCACTGGACTCAGGGCAGGGTACAAAAATGTAGTATAGCACCCACAAAAATAATCGCTGTAGTTTGCAGATTCAACACCAGAATTCTTTCCTAATCTGTCCCTCACAGATGCAGCATCCTCTCCCTACACTAATAACAGCTAATAACATGTGACGTGCGCTACGTGACTCCAGCTGATATATAGAGCCTTGGTCACATGCTGCACTGGCCAGTCACAGCCATGCCAGTAGTAGGCATGGCTGTGATGGCTTCTAAGGGCACACAAGTCAAACGCTTGTTGATTGGCTGCCCTGCAGCCTTTCAAAATGAGCCATTAAATCGCCGAACACAAAATTACAACCCGAACATACACTGAAATGTCAGTGTTCGGGTCCGGGGTCCAAAAACCGTAATGTTCGGTACGAACCCAAACTTCACAGTTCGGGTTCGCTCAACTCTAATTGGAACGAATAAAGATTTATTTTAATTCAGCTGACGTCCTGCAATACCTACTATCATCCAGTCCTGGTTTATGGACTAAAGCCTGAAAAGTTAGAGCAGACTTCCTATTTCCTTGTGAGTTGCATTCCATCCATTTATTTCTTGTACTCACATTATACAGTATTATGCTATGTTTTCCTTTTATTTCCTTTTTTATGTACTATGTCTGTACATCTGATTGGGAATAATTAAACAATATTTCTCTTGTAAGTTATTTTAATATTGTATCCCAAAATACACTTATTCTATTTTGCACATAATTTATACAATTTACTTAAGCATTGTGTATTAGAAACATAGAAACATAGAAACATAGAATGTGACGGCAGATAAGAACCATTCGGCCCATCTAGTCTGCCCAATTTTCTAAAAACTTTCATTAGTCCCTAGCCTTATCTTATAGTTAGGATAGCCTTATGCCTATCCCATGCATGCTTAAACCCCTTTACTGTGTTAACCTCTACCACTTCAGCTGGAAGGCTATTCCATGCATCCACTACCCTCTCAGTAAAGTAATACTTCCTGATATTATTTTTATTATTATTATTATTATACTGACACTCTGCTTCACTTTAAGGCACTTTACATTTTTAAAGGTATAGCGCACCTTTTTTCTTGTGTATATAAACATACAGCATCTAGCAACAAAAAACACACAGTATCTCACAAAAGTGAGTACACCCCTCACATTTTTGTAAATATTTTATTAGATCTTTTCATGTGACAACACTGAAGAAATTACACTCGGCTACAATGTAAAGTAGTAAGTGTACAGCCTGTATAACAGTCTAAATTTCCTTTCCCTTCAAAATAACTCAGCACACAGCTATTAAGCCTAAACCGTTGTCAATAAAGGTGAGTACACCCCTTAGTGGAAATGTCCAAATTGGGCCCAGTTAGCCATTTTTCCTCCAAGGTGTCATGTGACTTGTTAGTGTTACAAGGTCTCAGGTATGAATAGGGAGCCGGTGTGTTAAATTTGGTGTCATCGCTCTCACACAGCTGCAACCCCTGCGACCGGACCTGTCACTCCAGGGGGCCAGGCCGCCCTGCGGACCCCTGCGACCAGGTGCCTGCCGCCATGTGTTGCGGCCCCGGCTACGCAGTATAATTGCCGGGGCCGCAGGTGAAGGGGCTCACTGGGTGGCACATGCAGTTAGGGCCACCCAATGGAAATGAAAATCATCATCAGAGTGGGCCCGATAACAGCGCAACCGGGCCCCCTCTGATGATGTCAGACGCTGAGAGGAAGTGACTGCTGCAGTCACTCCTCCCAGCAACCACCAGGAGCCCGCGCGGGAGGAAGCAGAGGGAGTCAGAGTGGGAACCTTGACTCCCATCAACCTGAGCCACTGGACCCCAGGGAAGTCACCCTCATGCACCTAACAGGTAGGTAAAAGAAGGGTGACTAAAATATTTTGCATGTGTGTGTTAGTGTATGTGTCTGTCTATGTATGTGTGCCTGTGTGCAGTGGCATACACACAAACCATGAAGCCCCGGTGTGAAAATGATCCGTGGGTCCCCCACCCCTCTCTATTCCCCCCCCCAACAGACACACACCCATACATAGAGACACACACACACACACATAGACACATACAAACAGACACATACATACAAACAGACAGGCACATATATATATATATATATATATATTTACAGACAGACACATACATATAGACCGACACACAGACACATACATACAAACAGACAGGCACACCTACAGACACACATACAGACAGACAGGCACACATACAGACACACATGCAGACAGACAGGCACACATACAGACACACACACAAGAAACATACATACAAAGACACATACATAAAAAAACAGACATGCACACACACAGGCAGACACATACATACAGACAGACACACACACACACAAGACGCACATACATATAAACAGATAAGCACACACATATAGGCAGACACACACACAGACAGACACACATACATACACAGACAGGCACACACATACATACAAAGACACATACATAAAAAACAGACAGACACGACGCACATACATACATACAAACAGACAAGCACACACACATACAGGCAGACACACAGACAGACACACATCCATACACAGACAGGCACACACATACATACAAAGACATACATACAAACAGGCAGACACACACACAGACAGACACACATACATACAGACACACATACATACAAACACACACACACACAAAATGTTTAAGTCACTCTCCTGTTTCCTACCATTAGGGGGGTGGCAGTGGGGGGAGGGGGTGGCAGTGGTGGGAAGGGGGGGCCCCGTGGATCAATTCTGCACCGGGGCCCCTTATGGATTGTGTGTACGCCACTGCTCTCACGCTCTCTCATACTGGTCACTGGAAGTTCAACATGGCACCTCATGGCAAAGAACTCTCTGAGGATCTGAAAAAAATTATTGTTGCTCTATATAAAGATGGCCTAGGCTATAAGAAGATTGCCAAGACCCTGAAACTGAGCTGCAGCATAGTAGGCAAGATCATACAGCAGTTTCACAGGATAGGATCCACTCAAAACATGCCTCGCCATGGTCTACCAAAGAAGTTGAGTGCATATGCTCAGCGTCCAATTTAGAGGTTGTCTTTGGGAAATAGAGATATGAGTGCAGCCAGCATTGCTGCAGAGGTTGAAGGGGTAGGGGGTCAGCCTGTCAGTGCTCAGACCATACGCCGCAGACTGCATCAAATTGGTCTGCATGGCTGTCGTCCCAGAAGGAATCCTCTTCTAAAGATGATGCACAAGAAAGCCCGCAATCAGTTTGCTGAAGACAAGCAGACTAAGGACATGGATTACTGGAACCATGTCCTGTGGTCCGATGAAACCAAGATAAACTTATTGGGTTCAGATGGTGTCAAACGTGTGTTGTGGAAACCAGGTGAGTAGTACAAAGTCAAGTGTGTCTTGCCTACAGTTAATCATGATGGTGGGAGTGTCATGGTCTGGGCCTGCATGAGTGCTGCCAGCACTGGGGAGCTACAGTTCATTGAGGGAACCATTAATGCCAACATGTACTGTGACATACTGAAGCAGAGCATGATACCCTCCCTTCGGAGACTGGGCCGCAGGACAGTATTCCAACATGATAACGACTCCAAACACACCTCCAAGATGACAACTGCCTTGCTAAAGAAGCTGAAGGTAAAGGTAATGGACTGGTGAAGCATGTCTCCAGACCTAAACCTTATTGAGCATCTATGAGTCATCCTCAAACGGAAGGTGGGGGAGCGCATGGTCTCTAACATCCACCAGCTCCGTGATGTCATCATGGAGGAGTGGAAGAGGACTCCAGTGGCAACCTTTGAAGCTCTGGTGAACTTCATGCCCATGAGGGTTAAGGCAGTGCTGAAAAATAACAGTGGCCATACAAAATATTGATACTTTGGGCCCAATTTGAACATTTACACTTAGGGGTGTACTTACTTTTGTTGCCAACGGTTTAGACATTAATAGGGTATGTGGAGTTATTTTGAGGGGACAGCAAATTTAGACTGTTATACAGGCTGTACACTTACTACTTGACATTGTAGCAGAGTGTCATTTCTTCAGTGTTGTCACATGAAAAGATATATAATATTTACAAAAATATGAGGGGTGTACTCACTTTTGGGATATACTGTATATATGTACATATACATATATACACACACAAAATAGGATTACAAATAACCAGACAGGAACATGCAGAACAAATAGGTGTCAGAAGTCGTTCTATAAATTAAGTGGACCTGGAATTATATATCTAAACATCTATATTTATGCGCATATATAAGGGAATGTGTTTTTAAATGTAAGTGATATTATTAGATTACAAGTCTGGCAGTTTGGTACTTAGGTGTGATTTAGGATGAATGTTTGGAACGTTTAGCGAGGTGTAAAGTGACCATAAGTACATAAATTCCAGTGATAACAATGAACAAGGGCTAGCGAAGTTTGTTCTGGAAGGTGCTATTACATGTTAGAGGTTGGAGTCATACTTTGGTACTTAGGTGTGATTTAGGATGAATGTTTGGAACGTTTAGCGAGGTGTAAAGTGACCATAAGTACATATTTCTAAATTTGCATGCTGTTATCACTTTGTTTCTTGGCAGCAACTCAGACAATAAAATAGCCAAAAACTATTGCATAATAAATAAAACCACACATTTTTCTTTTACAATAGGCGTGTATCCAAGGCGATCCACACTCTATGGAAGTAGCCCAGAATAAAAATTCTAAGGGGGTATCCAAGGATGGCTATAATTCCAATTCCTTTAAAGGAATACAACTTGCTGGTCCAGGAAACTGCACAGCCACTGAGTCCAGCTGATGGAAGCAGACAGTGTGAATCAGGCATTCCTGGGCTCTGGCTGGCTGATCTCACACACACAGTCTGGGTGTTCCCTGCTAAAAGACACAAAAAGAAAGCAGCCCCAGGTCTAATTGGTTGTAAAGTTTGACTGTGACCAGGGATTGGTTGGCAGGCTTTTACTGGGAGTTTCAGCCCACGGTTAAAGCTTCATGAATCAGGATTTTCTCCAGCAGCTCTGCTGTGGAAGTGTTACAAGTTAGGTAAGAAGTGTTTGCTATTGAAACCTGCGAGATGGAAGTCAGTGCTGGAATTCAGAAGGTGAGTGAACCTGGGACATGTTTGGGGCCGTTACTAAAGGTTTGTAATTTCTACACAATGGGGGAAAAAAGACATTTGGTGTTAATCTGATGCTGGGATTATATTTATATATTCAATGCAAACATTTAGAACCCAAGACAGACTTTTAAGCAGAATTCTTTTTATTTTTGCACAAACAGAATAACTAACTGAAAGATAGTTATGGGTTGTACTTTTTCTATTTTTACATATATAGTGTATATCTCACTGTCCTGGCATAGTCAGGGCACACCATGCAAATTAATTTAACCCCTGAACCGCTGCACACAATGCATACGACACTGTGAAGGGAATGTCCAAGTGAGCATGCTCTTATATGTTATGTCTAGTGCACATGAGCACATCTGGAGCATTATAGGGTAACAATGTCACCCCAGGCACATACGTCAATAGGGTTAGGGAGCAAAGAACTACCACTTAGAAGTGTGATTCCTAAATATTTGCAAACAGGTTTGTTCACAAACATGGGAATTAACCAGGAATTTGCAAAATTTCAACAAAGATAGCCATATTGATGGGAGAAAAAAATTAATTTCCACTAATTCCGCTGTTTAGTAATTTTGCTTTATAATGTTCAGTTCCCCTAGTAAATTCTCCACAATTACCATTTAGTAAATAACCCTGGAACAGTTTTACCAGATGGGAAATTAATTTTTCTTCTCCATCTTTCATCAACCAATATAAGCACTTAATACAGTGATAAACGGAAGGACCCCTAAAACAAACACTTTCTCCTTCCAATACTCCCTTATTCTAAAACCTACATTTGCACCGGTCCAGAGTACAATGTCTGAGATACAGTCCTATCCCCGGAAATACTTCTATGCAATGAACTAGTTTTCTGATCTGCTCTGTGCTATGTCCCACAGCTGGTACCTGAGATATGTTCAACAGGTAGCCCTTCAGCTTTTGAATAACTATAACCCATATGATGCTTTGAAAGGCATTAGGCTTGAAACGCCGTATGGGAGTTGTGCTTCTAAAAATGCAGAGTAGGCTGCCTCAGTCACTCCTGCTCTAGGGAAGGTTTTCCTGATTTTGATAGTTTATTAGTGTACAATGGTGACAAATTAGATGTTAACACCCTGCATGCTAAAGGGTTTAGCATCTTTATCGAAAACTCTGGATTTCAGGGTAGAGGGCACATTATCTAGAAGGCACAGCTAGGACAGAAGACACAGCTAGAAGCTTATCCTTAACCACTTCAGAGATAGGCTCAGGCAAATGGCAAGTTATTTTGATAGTAAAGATAGGTTATCAGTCCTTAAGGGGTTACTTGTCTAGATCTAAACTCTGAATTGCAGAGAATTGACAAGTAAATTGCAAATACCAGGGCAAAATACATCAGATGTAGGAATTTTTCATTTCAGCTATTTTTCGCAAATAGTTTGCCATTTTTTGTCAATTCTCCTTAATTCACAGTTTAGTAAATAATGCCATTGCATGATGAAAGCCAAGCCTCTTACAAATCACATGTGAAATCTCTGCTTAAACGGAGATGACTCATTAACCGATATCTTTACATTCTATGGCGTGAGATTCTCTGTGAGGAATGGTATTCGAAACATTTGATCAAAGTTGCCAAGCAGCTACAGAGAATCCTAGTGAAATGCTCTTTAACCCCTTAAGGACACATGACATGTGTGACATGTCATGATTCCCTTTTATTGGTCCTTAAGGGATTAAAGTTCAATGTCAAAATCCGCTCTTCCTGTAAAAATTCCCAGGTACAGCAACTAATGCAACAGCTACTACACTGTCACACAAAGGGAAAACATTTACCATCAATAAAGGCCCTGCTAGTATAAATAACTGCTAACACCTGCTTCTAGGAGACACAGAAAATGTTTTATCAGAAAATCCTGCTAAGTACAAGGAAGGCGGCTTTGTGTTCATTACCTCTGGGTTTACATTCCTGTGGTAAATATGCAGAAGAACTAGATCCGTGCATGAACTGGGCGGATATGTGGGATTAGAGTTAGGAACAGGTAACCACACCTGTCTGTTAGTTTATCTCCCACAGCTATTCCGCTACACTGCAACCACACCAGGGTGCACCCAGCCCGATTTCAAAGATGTATAGTGGGGTACTGGAAGAACAACAGGACTGGTCTAGCTGATGCGGCAGAAATAGCAGGATCAGCTGCAACTGTACTCTCTGCAATTTCACTTGTACTATAATGTAAAAAACTGACTTCCATCACTCATAGGACATGTGTATCTTGGTACAATACTCCGAAACTTGGTGCTGTATAAAATGTGACATATTTTGACATTTACAATATCTTGTCGTACCCTGTATCACAGTTTTAGAGTCATAGGGTGATGCCATGCAGTGAAATAATGATGTTATCTCCTTTAATATCTGTGACTGTGTAGGTCAGGGGTAGGCAAGCTGTGTTACTGTGGATTCCATCTCCGCTAATGCTTTGCCAGTAATATAGCTGTAAGAGCATTATGGGAGATATAGTCCACAACAACTGGAGTGTTGAAGGTTGCCTACCCCAAGTCTACTTCACCACGGCAAACTGTTCTTTAAGGGGCCTATTCCAATTTGGAATAACCTCATTAATTATTAACTACAGGGAGTCATAAAGTCAGCAAAGGTAAATAAACAAAGTGTTCCATGGTACTGTATACAGCATTCAGAGACTAAACTGCGATGTCCACAAATGTGAATATTTGTTCCATTAGGGATTTAAATATGAGGCAGATCATGTTTTACAATATACTGCAATTCTACAGTTTGACGGTATTTAGCATATATTATATAATATCGTTTTGTAGTATGTAAACAAAACTATTGTTTAAGAAACTATAAAGTTATTAGATGTGGGAATGTTCCCTGGGTGATATGTATATATTTACAAAATAAACAACAGAACATTTTCTAAGGATATGTGTTCTTTTTTCTTTCTTTTGTTTTGATCACTTATGAAATGTTAGTGACTTCATTGGGGAATTCCACAGCAGCTGAAGATGTACATTTTCAGGCATGTTTCTCAGTTATGCATCAATCTCAGCAATGCAGCAAAACTAAAAAGGGGGATAATGTGATTCATTTCCATAGAAAGTTACGTCTTCATTCAGGAAAAGGGCAGACCTGAAATTCTGAGCAGTTCGACCCACCCTCCCGGATTATTGTCATGCCATTGATTCCAGATGTAGACCCACAATCTAAATTCTAATTTCCTTCCTCGTTAACCCCTTAGGGATCAATAATGGAACAATCCCTTTATGAAACTGCAATGCCCCGCTCGTAGCAAGATAGCATGTATGACAACAGCTTCTAACACATACAAGACTATTTACTAAAGCGAAAATTGTCTGGAATTCAAAGGGAATTTAAAATATATCCAAAGTACCCAAACTTGCAGCGATAAATATCTATTAAAGCATTACATATCTTCAGATTTTAAGGGGTTAAGAGGACTACTCTAGCTCTCAGATTTACAGTACTGAAGCCATGTTTACTAAGAAATGATATGAGACTATATATTTATATATCGTGTATATGTATGTATAAAACATAGCCTCACATTAAAAACTATTGATACCCGCATGCATATATACATATCCACACGTATACACGCAATTCAGGCACTTTCTTTTGTTGAGCTGTAAAAATATCTACCTCTCTGTTACATGACTCAACCATAGGTTTTACTTTTAACCCTTTCAGTACCGGAGACATGAGTAAACACTAGCCTCCCGCAAAAGCAGTGCATTGCAGATCAACACACAGAAGGGGCCAGCAAAGGGTTAAAGTACGTTTAGGTTGGACTTGAGATATGTGTAAAGCTATGATAAACATAAGATAAGATCAAATAGACTCTGGTATTTTTATCTGCTGTTATTTTCCATGCTTCTCTTAACTTTAATTCCATGGGTTTGTGTTTTTGATTGTTTTTTGCACAGAAATTTTTTTTTTTTTTATCAGTAATGCCAGTGCTTTACAACAGGGGAGCTTCCCACACATGCCTATCTTATAGCACAAGATGTTATGTTGGGGAAAAATAAAATAAAATATATATATAGAGAGAGAGAGAGAGAGAAATATATATATATAGGTATATACACACCAAAAAAGGTATGGTGGGGAAAAATTGTGATTGAAACCCCTTTCACCTGAAGTCTGTGGATAGTTAATACAATGTTAAACAAAAATCTGCACACCAGTCAAACCATAAGACTTGCTTTTCCCACAGAAATCACAAATCTGCAGTGATGTTAATGCCGCAAAGGATTCTGGGTGGGCATATACAAATTAGTTTAACAAAGAATCAAATTTTTGCCTCAAACTGTAAACAACCCTGTATGTAAATTGAGAGCCATTGCAACAGTATGGCTGCTATCAGTTTATTAAGCTGTTCCAATCAGTGAACATGATACTGATGGATAAAATACCTGTACCATAAATTCCTGCTGGATAGGGGTTCATGGTACATGATCAGACAAATCTCTGATTGGTGGATCCATTTCCTGGTGAGGGAGGAGTCTGCAATTTGTAGTTGCAGACCGCCAATTTCAGCTCTGCAGGTACAGATGTTTGAGGTAATACATTTCATTTTTTTTAATTTCATTTTTTTATACTTTATTGAAATTATCTATAAAAACCAGGGGACTCATTTTTGACAATAGTTTTCCTTTAACCATCTACAACACGTACGAGACTAGTGCTGGGACAATTTATACCTATTAGCACCACAAATGCTGGGTTAATAATAACATTACACCTAATAAGCTCTCACTAACTTACATACATACACACACACAAAGCTCAGCAATACATACACAATTGCATATATTTAGTCTTCAGTAACACACACAATTATATACAATATAAAATGCACGTACTCTCTGTGCTCTCAAAAACAGACAAAACAGTACTCACACATAATATAAGCACACACTAAGCTGGCACAGACTAGTTATAACAATAATTTGGCAGATGATGCAAAGTCAAACACTCAGCAGCAGGACTGGACTGTAGATGAAAAACAGCCCTGGAAATAATTCCTTAAAAACAGGTTCTCTGCCTAATTTTCAAGAGTGCTAGCCTGGGGGGGGGGGGTGAGAATTGATAGCAGGTGTCCGTATGTCAATTTGTGTATTGCCCTGTATGCAATTTGGTGTGTTTTTATTGATACAAACTAATTCATAGTCCTGCATTATGATGTGAGTTTTATGGTTAGTATTTTGCTGAAACGACCAGGAATTATACTTTGTTTAGTCCTATAACATTCAATCCATTTCACAGCCCCACACACTGTGAGCGTAGGTCAGAGTATGAAAGATCAGAAGTGCCACTGTGTCAGAATTGGGAAGCCTACATTGTACAAAGTCTGCATGTTGTGAAAGGCAAACAGCGGATTCATTAAATCTAAAATTGTTTCGAATTCACCAGAAAATTGCAAACTTTAGGTCAAAGCACCTGAGATGGAAAATAACTTTGACTTAGAATCTTTCCAATTTCTTTTTTTAACAAAAAAAAAAGGGCAATTCTCTAGTTTACATTATTTATCTGTTTAGTGAATAATGCTGAGTATGTGGATGCATTGAAAGAACCTAAACGTCACACTTGAGAAGTCTGACCAACTTTGATGCATATTGCATGCCAGTGATGCGCCAGTGACTCACTAGTGATGCAAGAGTGATGTCAGTCTGTCACACGTACAGATTGAAATAGAAGCTTGACAGGCAGAGAAGTGAAGTAGCAGTTCTCTCACATGGACATAAATGTCGCAAAATACAGAATAAAAGATTAATAACCCCCAATTAAATGAATAAATCCTTTAGTAAGGCTGTATTGCATTTAGTGAGTATAGGTTCCAATGTGCCTTGTAGAACCCCCACTCTTACTTACATATGCTTGCTAGTATATTGTTCATGACCAATCAGGGTTTTCTCGCTACTTTGGATAGCCCTGGCACCAACAGAAAAGAGCACTAAATGTGATATTAGTGACATTAGTGCCACACTGCCCTACAGAGGTCAAAGTATATTGGAAAGGAGCCATGCCAAAGGTTGAGATTTGCTGTAAACAGACTGCATTATATCAGTCTCCAATAAATCATCGCTCTATGAAGTCAGAGTCTCTTGATGCAGCTGTCCTTGTTTGTGACACATATTTACCTTTGATCTCTTGAGCTACTGTTTATTTTTAAAGGGCCTTTGCCACTTCAGAAAGAGATCAGCGTTAAGCCCTAAGCTGCTGTGTGTTTCAGGGATGTGATGACAGAGCCATCACTCAGAGCAGTCAACACATCGTCACTCTCTGCTCTGGGACCACCAGTAGTCTCCACAGTTAAAACAAACAAAAAAGTATAAGTGTCTCATAGCAACATAAAAAATGTCAGCATTGATATCTTAGATTACCTCTTATGTGTGATCTAGTAACAATTTCTCCTTGGCATGATTAAGACACTGTATACAGTAAGATTTTCCAAATATCAAACTATATCAATGGTGGTGGCAATGGCTGCCCCAGAGTTTGCAAAGTTACATGATATTATGTGTTGTCCTTGATAATCGTAGGAGAAACATAAGGCACTCTTAGGTAGAGGTCTATGGCCCAGTGGTTAGACAGGGGCCTCAGTACCATGAATCTGATTGCCCCCAATCCACCATCCCCAGGAGAAAAATGAAGTGTGTGGTGGGGAGGAGGGGTAATCATTACCTTGCCTAAGGGATCTTAATCCGTCGCTGTCCATGAGGACTGAAATCCTATTTGAGTATTATGAATTCTTAAACAGTCAGACCACTAGCACCACTAACACAAATGACTACTGTGCTACATTCTACTATATACGAGTCAAACAGGTTTAAAACTGGTCTTCTCAATCACTTGGTTTGCTAGGCCAGATGTTGATGCCCCAATTGCGGACTTTGAGCACATATAACACACACTGAGCTCTGCTGGCTGTAGGATTACTGCTGCTGCATATCCCATTATACACTACCAGTCTCAGAATGAGTATGTGTAATGTGATTTGTTGTCCAAAAACAGCTGGAGTAGAAAGGATTAACGTTGTGTTAAAAGCTAGGTTTCTTTATGATAAAAAAAACACAGACATTTGGTCTCATTCCGGCACTCGGCGAGTCTCAGCAGCAATTCGTAACTCAACTGGAAAATGGTTTAGTGAAAAACATCTTAAAAATAGTGTTTACATGAATCAGATCCTCTTAAGAAAAACTAAAGAAAACAAGTTCTTTATAAATTATATATGTAGCATTGAGAAATGCACCAAAGCAGCCATAGATAATCTTGTTATAATGACATTAAGGCCGGAACTGCAATTGCAAAATACCAACTTTGGTGCTTTCCATATTTCCTTTTCAATTCCTAAACAATTTCCTAGTTAATTTATGAATTGTTCTAATACAATAATTATTATCTAAGTTTTTTATAGCCAAACAAACTGATTTCAACAACCTTAAGTAGTACAGCAGTTTTTTATATCAAGTACATAAAGATAAACTAGATAGAGATTTATTCTAGAGAGACAGATATGTTCATGATCCCTCATTCAATTTGCAATGCTAAATATAGGGTGTTTTATTCACATATAAAGTAACACGTTTAATGCAAAATTTTAAATATGGAGCAATCATCAGAAATGTTACTATTGATGCTGAACAAAACTCCATCCTCCTATGTCCAATGGATATATAACCTTCCATATTCTAGCTGTCAAATACTGTGTTAACCAAGTTACTCTGATTAACCACAATGTGTATAGTCTAAACATTGATAAATAGCAAGTGACTATGTACAAGACAAAATCTGTATAATCGTGATAGAATTACTACTGTTAGGGGGCTTAAAGTTATAGGATGCCTTCCTTCAAGGTACTGTGAACTGCAAATCCCATCACATTCATCCAGACATCACTCTTTGTCTGACTGAGGATCATGGATGTTGCAGTAAACAGCATTTTGAAGGAAGAGACTTTTAAGCCTTATTCCTGAATCTATGATCACCGACCTGAAGCCTCCTAACACGAAAAGACCCTAACCATAAATTTTCCCCTAACCCTTACATTAGCATAACAGTCTTATGAATGAAGTGCCTTTTCAGAGATGCTCTAATGATGTTCAGCATGTAAAATGCTTAGTTTCTATAGTTACACTGTGATGCATAGCCTTAGTGTCAAACCATCCTGTACGATGAGAGAATTTAGGGTTAGTGAGTTCCTAGGGTGACTCTTTGATGTTATGATCCCATAGTCGGTACAACGTTGCTCTACTAAATAACAATATTCAGCTCAGTATTTTCATAACATATTGAACATATATGTCTCTAGGGAAAGAGTGACCTAAAAGAACCAAACGACAAACTCTTTTAGAACTTCAAGTCCCATGATGCTTTGCCATTCTTCATCCCTCTTGCATGTTATCCCTCACTTTACAAACATGAAGCATTGCTGACATCTTTTTGCTCTGCCCCTGTACCAGCCAGCAATATATGATTGTGTACGGCCATTTATCACTGGCCCCCACTCCCAGAATTTTCCACTGTCGAAGAGATTAGGAGTTTTGTGACAAGATAGGAACTCACTAAAAAAATATGATCCAGAATTTTTATATACAAATAAAAGAAGAGTGTAATTTTGGGGGGGAATTGGTGAAGAGTCTTGTAAGGACTCCTAGAGTCTGCTAGGGACTATTTCTGTCTGTTGTGACAGAGGTGACGGGCTCAAGGAATGCATGTGACAGAACAAATCTCAGCTGAACAGTGTGGGCCCCAAGGGAGATTAAGCTGTTCTGTATAAGCTTCCAGCGGCCTCCGCTCAAGTGAACTCCCACAGTCCTGGGATACCTTCCACAAAACACAATCTGCTCTGACAATAGCACGTTGGCTCCCCTGGGAGACAGGTGAAGTGGATTAGCGCATACCTAACGTGTTAAATCTTTGTATAACTTAATTTTAAAATAGATTGGCACTCACGTGGTGACGTTGGTACAGCCGAGGAGAGGAATATTTCAGCTGCCCTTAATTGCAGACACTGCTTGTGTTCAATTTCAATTATTTGTTTTTATTTTCACCAAGTTACAAATCAGTCTGAAAGAGCTTATGATTTGAATGGTCCTATCTCATAAAAATGCTATGATTAATTTAAAAAAAAATTAAAATAAAGAGCACTACAAGTTGCAATTGTTTATACTATATATAGATAATGCATAAAAATATGCAAAACAATAAATTTAAAAAATGTATGAAAAGATGCTCACATCTCAGGTTCCTGTTTTTGCTACAAAACAGACCTTGTATCTTCTTCAGTGAGCTATGGCCACACCAAAAATGCACTTCACTATATCACTATGACAGTGCTGAGCAACTGAAAGGCAAGCTATCGGAGACCATGTCCATTCTAGGTGTTGTCTCTTTCCACCAAAGTAAAAAGGTAATTTATACTTGGACCTCTTCTTCAATAACCCCTCACTGACAAGGCAGAGAGCACCTGACTGACTGCCCCTATGAATGGGACTAGTCAATGTATACACTTTGGATATGCATTCTGAAATCCTCTTCTAGATATATTTGTCCTGATTCCGGCTCTCTACCTAAACAATGTGTCCATCCGATAGCACAGAATAGACTGAATTTGGGTGCCTTCTTTTCCAGATGTCTTTGGGACAGCAGACTACGGGAAGAGGTGCTCCATGTATGAGGTGCAAGGGGAATTGTCAAGGATATAAGCCTCATTCCTGGAGGTAAGATACGTGTTTTGGCATTAATGCAGACTTGAACATTTCAAAACCACATGCAAACTAAAAAAAGTCACAAAAAGGTTACATTTGCATTTGAATTTAGGCTTACTATTATATCAGCTTAGCTATTTGGGTCTAAGATTTATAATTTTCTATAATTATTACAGGACCACTATAGTGCCAGGAAAACATACTTGTTTTCCTGGCACTATAGTCCCCTGAGGGTGCCCCCACCCTAAGGGTCCCACTCCCGCCGGGCTCTGGGGAGAGAAAAGGGGTAAAACTTACCTTTTTTCCAGCGCCGGGCAGGGAGCTCTCCTCCTCCGATCCTCCTTCTTTCCTCCCATTCGGTTGAATGCGCACGCGCGGCAAGAGCTGCGCGCGCATTCAGCCGGTCTCATAGGAAAGCATTCATAATGCTTTCCTATGGACGCTTGCGTGTTCTCACCGTGATTTTCACAGTGAGAATCACGCATGCGCCTCTAGCGGCTGTCAATGAGACAGCCACTAGAGGATTTGGAGGATTGATTAACCCATTTATAAACATAGCAGTTTCTCTGAAACTGCTATGTTTATAAAAAAAATGGGTTCATTAAGCTGAAGTGGTCTGGGTGCCTAGAGTGGTCCTTTGATTAAGTGAATGAGCTCCAAAATGGAACAGAGGTTTTGATGATTTTTTTTGTTTGTTTGTTTGTTTAAAAAGACACTATCCGCTCCAAAACAACTTTACACAAAAAATAAGTCCTGCGCTCAAACTTCCACTACTCCTGGGCGGCAGCAACGACCATAGCACACATCAGCCCCAATACATACAAAACAAGCAAAGAAAAAAAAAGTTACCTGCGCACTAGCCCAAATTTCTATGCATATTTAAATAAATAAAGGTTATTTATTAACTCCCTTGCCATTAGATGTAGACCCACCTGCCACCCTAAGGGTCCCACTCCCACCGGGCTCTGGGGAGAGAAAAGGGGTAAAACGTACCTTTTTTCCAGCGCCGGGCAGGGAGCTCTCCTCCTCCGATCCTCCTCCTCTCCTCCCATTTGGTTGAATGCGCACGCGCGGCAAGAGCTGCGCGCACATTCAGCCGGTCTCATAGGAAAGCATTTATAATGCTTTCCTTTGGACGCTTGCGTGTTCTCACTGTGATTTTCACAGTGAGAATCACGCAAGCGCCTCTAGCGGCTGTCAATGAGACAGCCACTAGAGGAATTGTAGGAAGGATTAACCCATTTGTAAACATATCAGTTTCTCTGAAACTGCGATGTTTATAAAAAAAATGGGTTCATTAAGCTGAAGTGGTCTGGGTGCCTAGAGTGGTCCTTTAATTTAGTGAATGAGCTCCAAAATGGAACAGAGGTTTTGATGATTTTTTTTGTTTGTTTGTTTAAAAAGACACTATCAGCTCCAAAACAACTTTACACAAAAAATAAGTCCTGCGCTCAAACTTCCACTACTCCTGGGCGGCAGCAACAACCATAGCACACATCAGCCCCAATACATACAAAACAAGCAAAGAAAAAAAAAAGTTACCTGCGCACTAGCCCAAATTTCTATGCATATTTAAATAAATAAAGGTTATTTATTAACTCCCTTGCCATTAGATGTAGACCCACCTGCCACATCAAGGCAGGTAACTAATTTTTTTATTTTTTTTTCCAAAACAACTTTACTTTGTGGAGTATAGATAATGACTCTGCATCCTCACTGTTCAATTTTCTGCCATTTAGCATTTAAATTATTTTGTTTATGCATTAAGCTTGTTTTGATGCTTGTAGTGTCCCTTTAAGTTAATGTCACAATCTAAATATGCCTGATATCAATCTGTATAGCAATCATGCAATATATCTTTCAATACCACAGCTCAGTAATTATGCAATTAAGGAAACATGTCCATGCCGTATATTCTAAATATCTGTTAAACATATTGACTTGTCAACATTTAGTCTTTCATTCTACACTGAACACTGAACAAAATTATAAATGCAACACTTTTGTTTTTGCCCCCATTTTTCATGAGCTGAGCTCAAAGATCTAAGAGTGGCCTTTTATTGTGGCCAGCCTAAGGCACACCTGTGAAATAATCATGCTGTCTAATCAGCATCTTGATATGCCACACCTGTGAGGTGGATGGATTATCTCGGCAAAGGAGAAGTGCTCACTAACACAGATTTAGACAGATTTGTGAACAATATTTGAGAGAAATAGACCTTTTGTGTACATAGAAAAAGTCTTAGATCTTTGAGTTTGGCTAACTAAAAATGGGGGCAAAAACAAAAGTGTTTTATAATTTTGTTATTTGAAATAGCTCTTTATTTTGTTACAGATGAAGATGATCGCTTATTGTTGTACACAGTAGTTTATTAGAACAATTTGTTTTTGGTTTTATTTTTGTATTATGAGTGCTAACTTGCATATAAAAGAAGTTTAGCTACAGTTTAGCTTATTTTATGAAGAAACAATCTTTATCTCATAGCAGAGTTTTCAGTTAAATAATGGGAATTGTTTATCTTAATTCACTGTAAATAAGGCTTACAGAATAATAATCAAATACCAGATTCCAGCCGTTGACTAATTTCAACTCACATGAACTGTTCCCAACCAAAACAATCAAGACATCTTATAAAAGGTTTATGGGAACTGTAACAGTAGAGAATGTTCTGTATCTTCTACCCAGTCTGACAGGAAGTGATCACTGAGTGCAAAGAATAGCTTCCTGTCAAACCGGGTAGAGGATACAGAACATCCTTACTGTCTGTGGTCTGCTCAACCACTTTACAATATAGAAGTAAGCAGCAGCGAAGGGGAAAAATACCACAAAGGGGAGTGTGGTGGAACAGACAACAAAGTGGGAGTGGAAGAGACCACGAAGGGAGGGGGTTTAATAGACACACAAAAGGGTCTGGAGGGAAACAAGATACACAGAGGGGCTGGTGGGGATAATACAACACACAAAGGGCATATGGGAGAAAGAAAGACACACAGAAGAGCTGGGGGAGAAAGACATACAGAGATAATGGGGGAGAAGAAAGACATACAGAGGTACTGGGTGGAAAAAAAAACACAGAAGAAAGGGGGAGAATGAGACACACAGAGAATAGGGGGAGAATGAGATATACAGAGGGGATGGAGAGAAAGACACACAGAGGGGATGGAGAGAAATACACACATAGGGGCTAGGGAAGGGGAGACAGAGACACACAAAGTGGCTGGGGGGAGAAAGAGACACATGGAGTGGTTTGGGGGAGAAAGAGACACACATATGGGCTTGGGGAGAAACAAGATACTCACAGGCTGGAGAAAAGGGGAGAAAGAGACACACAGAGGGGGTGGGGAGAGAGACACACAAAGGGGCTTGGGAGAGAAAGAAACACACACAGGAAGGCTGGGTGAGGCAGAGACAACTTGCTGGTGGGAAGAGACACAGAGAGGACAGAGGGGACAGGGAGAAAGACATAAAAAGGGGCTTGGGTGAAGAGACACACAAAAAGGCTTGGGCCGAGAGACACATAAAAGGGGCTGGGAGGAAATACGAGAGACACAAGGGGGCTGCAGAACACACAAAGGAGAAACCCCTCTCAGATTTCAAACAAGTTATGGCTCAAAAGTGTCATTAAAGAGACACTCTAGATCTGTCACATGTCAGATCGATGCCTTTCACTAGGGCAGATCAGATCAAAATGTCAGCAGTTTCTATTACATTGTGTAATAGTATACAGAGCTGTCCAGCAAATTAAAATCTATTAATATCATCACATCATATAGTGTTAGGAGTACAAACATGTATTCCTTATGATATAGTTTTAATACCCACTTAGGTGTCCATCCACGTCAGTGAGAGTTTAAAAGTTGCGCTTTACTTACCTTTTAGCCCTCCACATATTGGTCTTCGTCTTGGTGCTCTGCCTTCATTGCTAAGATCACCAATATTGATTATCTCAGCCAATCCAATGTTTCTCCATAGGCAAACATTGGGACTAGGGCACATGCATGGCAAAATACAGCTTTGTGTCATTTAAATGTTTCTCACTGAGCAGTATTAGATTGCGTTTGACTCAGTTCTCAATGCAGAAGCGCCTCTAGTGGCTGTCTTCAAGTTAGTAGCAGCAAACATCGGCTTGACTCCTGATGTGGCAGCATGTCAAGTTGCTAAAGGGATTCTACTCCAAACAAAATCAACATTAATGGCAACAACTTCAAATTCTAGGGATTTATTTAAAGAAATTATAGAATTCTATGAATTCTATCATGTTTGGATCCATAATCTGCCCATTATACGGAACATAATATAGAAAACACAGAACATCTGTTAAATTGCCCACTTGTCTCTGCATTATATAAAGCAGACTCTTTTTTTTCATAATTTTAAGTGGGAACAATGACCAAAAGTATGTTAATGTTTCTTGAGGTACATAAATATGTCAAATATGTTTTCAGTTCTGCAGGACCAACAATAGACAAAAGCTCAGTATTGCGATGGTAAGCGTATCATACTTACTTCACAGATGTGGCAAACAATGATTGCCAGGGGTTTCTGTATTGCTAGTACCTTTCTGGCCTTTTGGTACTGGACTGCGTCTGTGAATAGGACCAGTTTATTATGCTCTGTAATGGCACAAGTGAGTTTATTTAGGTATATATGACTCGTAGTGCAAGCTATTACTTTAACGTTACATTTTGCTGTTTGGCTCTCATACTCCTCTTTTGAAAACTAATAGGAGGAATCCTCTACATTAATGAACTCTTGCATAGCATATATATTTTGTAATAATTATTGGAAAAGATCCAGAATTTTTTTTTTCACTTTCTGCTAATGGACATACACACTCAGCCTGCTGTCCTCTTTCACGGTATATGGAAAGTCAAAATCAACAGCATAAAAGGATGTGTCTAAAGGTTGAACTTGGTGGTCTTTTTAAATCCTAGATTACTATGTATCTCTGTGGTTTAATATCAATGTATGTTTGCAGGAAGTTATGTGAATGCTGCCGTTGTCCTCGTGAGGAGCATGCTCTATTGACTGATCTAGAGGAAGACTACCAGATTGGGCAACTGCTCACAGACTCTCGATACTCAGGGCTGACAGCGCGTGTGAAAGGCAGCGATGGTGCACGGGTGTACAAGAGGAACCGCATGATTATCACCAACCCAATCACTTCCCGCAAAGACCCCACCTTCCTAACTGTTACATATGAGTGGGCACCCCCTGGACTCAACCAAAAACTGGTACATACAATGTTTAACACTGTTAAGAATTATATACACCTCATGGTACATATAATATATATGCATAGGGTAAGAATATGTATTATCATGTTGTTGTATCCTACATTATTTTTAAGGACTGTGATGAAATGCGTGCCCTATACCTATGTGCATGCTCATATTTTTCTAAATAATTTGATATTGGAGTCTCCTGATGCAGTTGTCTGTTTTTTTTTTGTTTTTTTGCTTTTTTTGCTGGTCTGTCTATCTTTACTAATTAAAGCAATTATGACACAAACTATATTTTATAATGATACATTACAATGTACAGAAAACTATATTTAGTGCTGACTATGTTTTATTTTAGTTTTTGAGTCCTTTAAACTTTGTAATATATCAGAAATGTTCATCTCTAAACTTTGTGTTTATCCTTTGAGCTTTTTCAAATACGTGAAATTTAGAAAAAGAAATATGGGTATAGAAAATATTTTGATCCTCTCATAATTCATTATCACACATGACCTATTTGATCATTCCATCTGCTAAACAATGTATTCTCTCTCAGGCCATGCATTACATGGAACTGATACCCAAGAAAATGCAGCCTGTGGCTGGTACAGAAGGGGCACATTATCGGCGTGTTCAGCTGATGAGGCAGCTTCCTTCCCATGACCTGGATCCAGAACAATGCCATGGACTCTCACAGCAGGAGCGACCAGCCATGGAGAAGTTTGTGAAGCAGTACAAAAAGAACGCATTGGGCGTTGCTGAAGTGACTTTGCCTTGTAGTGCCAAGCAACAAGAAGATGAAAAAGATGGTGGAAAAACAAAAGCGACAAATGGCACAGAGGAGGAAGCTGCGGGAAAATTAACTTATGTAAGTTTCATGATGTCTGAACAATTAAACAATTACTGTCAATGTATGTGTATGGTACTTCAGGGATCCTGGTAGAAGTCCCTTGTAAGAGCATCAAAGGAGATGTAGTCCACAACATCTGGAGTGCATAACGCTGCCTACCCCTGCTCTAAGGTCATGTGAACTGCAAAATGTCTGATTTCTTACTGGTTCCATTTATGAAACAGGATGGCTATGAGAAATGCATGGGTACAACAAATTTCACAAGGCTGCATGTAAACTATTCAGTCTAAAATAACTTTACATTATATCAAGCATCTTAAACTCATGCAATGCACATGATGTGTTAATACAGTTAAACAACAGACTTTTGTAGTTAAATATATAAATGTACAAATACAGGTTCAAGTCACATGGCTCCTACATATCCAATGCATAAAACAAATGTATTGAAAAAAATCAAGTCTTCTCTACTGACATTTTGTAACCAAGGATGCAATTTGGGCTACTGATCTGTAATGTCCAATTTAATAGCCTTTCCTGAAAACTTCTATAAACATATATGAGCAACGAAAGAAGTAATTAGTAGAATATTTTAATATATATATTTTATTCTACTATTTTGACAAAATGAAAATAAATATATTTATTTTTATTCTGTCAAATTAGTAGAATATATCAAAAAAATGATCTATTCTACTATTTTGACAAAATAAAAATGAATACAATAATTTTGTCAAATTAGTAGAATAAAATATTTTTTTTCCACGGTACCCAGTGTTCCAGTTTTGATACTGCAGAATCTTTGCTCTTCGTTTACCATAAGTTGTTCGCTGCGGTGGAGCATTTTCTAATACTTACATGCTGTTTCATGTCCTGGAAGCTACAACTTGAGCACAGTTAGGGCTCTTTATCCAGTAAGTGGTCTGTATCACAGGAGTTAGGGAGAGACCAATTTCATTGAAAAGATTCGTTATACATACTTTTCACATACATTGATTACTTTATTTGTTACACATCTCTGTTCACATCCTTAATGTATCTGATATAAGCGTATGTGCATGTAGAATATATATATATATATATATATATATATATATAAAAATAATAATAATCTATTCTACTATTTTGACAAAATAAAAATGAACACATTAATTTTGTAATATAGGAATCAAGCACATTCTGCTTGATTCCTATATTATTTGCTTACACTATAATTTCACTAGTGTGATGAAAGCTACTTTTTATAGACATTTTGTAGAAGTGCAGTATACATTTTATTTATTCCTTTGGTATTTTTTAAACAAATTGCACTATTATTTTTTTATTTTATTTTTTTATATGTGTGTTATTACATCTTTAAGATATAGATACAGATTTTGATAAGTATTATTCACAAGTGATGTGGTTTTATATATTTTTGAAGATGGGAAGGAGAACAGTCAGTTTTGGAGTGCTCTGCTGCTCACAGTGCTGTCCACATATCCCTTATCAGATCACCTTTTTATCCATCACCTTTTGTGTTGTTGTAAAAGTTCTGTTTCAGTTGTTAATTAATTTTACCCACTATCCATCAGTGGAGAAGAGGGGAACAAGATGGCTGTGCTGTGGTATTGAGATCTGGCACAAGGAAGAAAAGATAATAAATATAAATAAATGTCAGTGGCAAGAGAACTCTTCTTATAAAGATGCAGGGGGTATTACGAAATGAAAATGAAGAGAAAATAAAACATGTTAGGGCCTCTGTAAATACCATCTGTGATTTTGTTTTGTTTTAATAAGAAAAATCAAACTGGGGGCTGGGTTCATATTATAGTACTGTTTATTGAATAGCAGTTTTCCCTTTAAAGGACCACTATAGGCACCCAGACCACTTCAGCTTAATGAAGTGGTCTGGGTGCCAGGTCCAGCTAGGATTAACCCTTTTTTCTATAAACATAGCAGTTTCAGAGAAACTGCTATGTTTATAATAGGGTTAATCCAGCCTCTAGTGGCTGACTCATTGAAGACGCCAGCGTCCGTAGGAAAGCATTGAGAATGCTTTCCTATGGACTGGCTGAATGCGCACGCGGCTCCTGCCGCGCATGCGCATTCAGCCGAAGAGGAGGAGAAGAGGCAGGAGAGGAGAAGGAGAGCTCCCCGCCCGGCGCTGGAGAAAGAGGTAAGTTTAACCCCTTTCTCCCCCTAGAGCCCAGCGGGAGGGGGACCCTGAGGGTGGGGGCACCCTCAGGGCACTAGAGTGCCAGGAAAACGAGTATGTTTTCCTGGCACTATAGTGGTCCTTTAACATCTATTGGAATATTTATATTCAATTGCACTTATATGTGCATTTCTAATTATAGTATCTAGCCTCTATTAAGGTCAAATATATCATAAAACTATCTGTTTGAGAGTAGGTAATATGAATGCTTTTAAGTTGAATTAAATATCATGAATGAAATGGTTCCTGAAACAGACTGTTTTAATAGAATGTGTTGCCATATCTTTCCTTTTAGTTGTGTGAGCTGTGCCAGCAGCTAATGACCAATGATGCCCCTGCTGTGTATGCAGAGCGGGCTGGCTATAACAGACAGTGGCATCCATCCTGCTTCATATGCTGCCAGTGCAGACAGCCCCTTGTGAACCTGATATACTTCTGGAAAAACAACCACTTGTGGTGCGGCAGGCATTACTGTGAGAGCGAGAGACCACGATGCACAGGTTGTGATGAGGTGAGTGTCCATTCAGGTGAGAGACTCCTAGTTCTTCTACAGAAACATCTTCTACAGAAACATGCCCAATCCATAACCTCATCTTTTATACACCGGTTTTTAAAATTATAATATATGAGTATTCAAAAATAGATTTGTTTTCAAGATATGCAGCTTAATAATATTGCAGCAGAGTGATTTATATATACGGGCCTTGATATTACTCTGTCTCTGAAGCTCCTTTTATAACATAATGCTGGACTCCACAAGGACTGGAAGATGCCCAATCTCTTGCGTCCTACAGAGGTTGATTCTGTAAGGTATTATCTAAAATGAATAAGTGGCCTCAAAAGGGTCTGGGAGATGATCAGTCTTCTGGACCCCAATCTTGTTAGAAATGTATTCGTAATGTATAGCCTAATAACGGCCCAGGGAAGTTTCCCCGTATGCAGTGGTTAGTACCTACCAACCATAATGCAAGTAAGAACAACCAGTGAACCGGTTACTAGTTTCCAAGCATAATTTAATGTTTTACACTGCTCACTGACACAGTGTTAGTGTCTGCCTATATGGTTCAAATTCCAAAATTTGCCTACCAACACGGCTACATACACTGATCAGCCACAAAATTAAAACCATCTGCCTAATATTGTGTAGGTCCCCCTGTTGCTGCCAAAATATATCTGATGTGTCAAGGGATAGACTCTACAAAACCTCTGAAAATGTTTTGTGGTATCTGTCACGGAGACGTTAGCAGCAGATCCTTTAAATCCTGCAAGTTGCAGGGTGGGGCCTCCACTGTTCTAGCACATACCACAGATGCTCAATCGGTTTGAGATCTGGAGATATTGGAGGCCAAGAGAACACCTTGAATTCTTTGTCATGTTCCTCAAACCTTTCTTGGACAATTTTTGCAGTGGCAGGGTGCATTATCCTACTGAAAAAGGCTACTGCCATCAGTATCACAATCTCTAGGTAGGTGGTACATATCAAAGTAGTATACATATAAATGCCAGGACCCAAGGTTTCTGAAGCAGAGCATTGCCCTGCCTCCACCACTGACTCCGCCAGTCTGCCTTAGTGCATAGTGCATCCTTGTGCCATTTCTTCACCAGGTAAGCAATGCACACACACTCGGCCATCCACTTGATCTAAAAGCTTTATCACACCAGGCAATTCCATAGTGCAGTTCTATTGCCTACGTCTCCACTGAAGACAGTTTTGGCGATGGTCAGTGAACATCAAGGGTAGTTTGACCAATTTGTGGCTATGGAAACCCCAAACTGTGATGCACTGTGTGTTCAGAAACTTTTTGAAAAAAATCAAGTCTTCTCTACTGACATTTTGTAACCAAGGATGCAATTTGGGCTACTGATCTGTAATGTCCAATTTAATAGCCTTTCCTGAAAACTTCTATAAACATATATGAGCAACGAAAGAAGTAATTAGTAGAATATTTTAATATATATATTTTATTCTACTATTTTGACAAAATGAAAATAAATATATTTATTTTTATTCTGTCAAATTAGTAGAATATATCAAAAAAATGATCTATTCTACTATTTTGACAAAATAAAAATGAATACAATAATTTTGTCAAATTAGTAGAATAAAATATTTTTTTTCCACGGTACCCAGTGTTCCAGTTTTGATACTGCAGAATCTTTGCTCTTCGTTTACCATAAGTTGTTCGCTGCGGTGGAGCATTTTCTAATACTTACATGCTGTTTCATGTCCTGGAAGCTACAACTTGAGCACAGTTAGGGCTCTTTATCCAGTAAGTGGTCTGTATCACAGGAGTTAGGGAGAGACCAATTTCATTGAAAAGATTCGTTATACATACTTTTCACATACATTGATTACTTTATTTGTTACACATCTCTGTTCACATCCTTAATGTATCTGATATAAGCGTATGTGCATGTAGAATATATATATATATATATATATATATATATATAAAAATAATAATAATCTATTCTACTATTTTGACAAAATAAAAATGAACACATTAATTTTGTAATATAGGAATCAAGCACATTCTGCTTGATTCCTATATTATTTGCTTACACTATAATTTCACTAGTGTGATGAAAGCTACTTTTTATAGACATTTTGTAGAAGTGCAGTATACATTTTATTTATTCCTTTGGTATTTTTTAAACAAATTGCACTATTATTTTTTTATTTTATTTTTTTATATGTGTGTTATTACATCTTTAAGATATAGATACAGATTTTGATAAGTATTATTCACAAGTGATGTGGTTTTATATATTTTTGAAGATGGGAAGGAGAACAGTCAGTTTTGGAGTGCTCTGCTGCTCACAGTGCTGTCCACATATCCTCAGCTCAATCTTCACAAATCTCTGCAGTTTAAAGAAACTGTGTGCAGGAATACAATGATGCAAGACATCTTGATAGGTGCCCGTAGTGTTTTTTTAGGACACCTATCTAGTACATATGGTCAATAAAGATGGACCTTGTGTTACTGAAGGAGCCATCCAGACAAAACAAACATGTTAAGCTATACATTATAAGCTGTTTTGAGCAATCTGGCATTCGTGTTAAACTTTTTAATAGTTTTTCTCATTTGTTGTGTAATCCCCCCTTTATAACACTGTAAAGAGGTGCTATACAAATGCCAATAACAATAATAAAAAGAAAAGGCTCTTTAAATGGCTGTTCTTGCTAACACAAAGAATGTTCTTTCTAGTCTAATCATTTTTCCAACAAAATAATAAATATATAAAAGATTATTAGATTTTCAGATCAACGTCTGCTGTCCTGTGCCATTGACCCCACTTATCGATGCCATCTTCTACATTAACACATTCTCCTGAAAAACATGGACCTGTGACCCCAATTCTCTGTGTATAAAAGGGAGGATGGTGCCTATTAAAAACAAATGGTTTAATATTTTTGCACTGCTCACTGAAAAAATACAGTGTTATACTCATTGAATCGTTGCACAACAAAAAAGGATGCTGCCTCATTTGGAGAAACACAAAACATATTAATTTTAATAAATTGTGTCTATTTAATTTGAAAGCATCTGCTATATATTGAATGCTGAAAACTCTGCATTTTGTTTGACTTAACCTTCTGCTGAATAATAACAGCTGCAGTTATTCTAATGCCTAGCACCTTCCTACGTGTATGGTGGATGCAAAGATAATGCATTTCATTGTGTAATCCTCTTAATGACAGAGAGGCTAAGCCATGCACCCACGGTCCCTCAGCCTCTCGTGGTCCTGGTGTGATTAAATCAGTATTGCAATTTATTGTTGTACATGGTCCTGCTTAACCCTTTAGAAGAAACAGGTTATTCCATCTCTTAAAATAGTATCAGCAATATCATTAATATAGTGGTCTGACCTTGGTAAATGTAGAGGATGAAGGTACAGCTAGAACCAAAGTTTGCAAAAACCCTAAGTCATGGTGGAAAGGAAGATCCACCAGTATTTGATTTAATTCCCCATTCTTCTCAGTATCTAGAATAGAGCCAAGAGATATCTAGCAGTTAGAGCAGGTATCGCAAACTCAGATTCCCCCAGATTTTATTGGCCTACGATTCGGAGAATTCTTTGACTATAAAAGATGACAAGAGAATCATGGGAATAGTTAAGCAACATGTAGGAGGCCAGAGTTTGAGATGCCTCAGTTAGACCACTATTTTGGAGAATGACAAAAAAAATGCACATGAAATAAAGAGGAAAATAGTATGGCTTTATGGATAACCCAGTATATGCATATACAGCCTTGCCATTACTTAATTCCACTTCTGATTTTTACAAACAAACAAAAAGTATCACGTACATAGCCAAGAAATAACATCTGTAAAGGACACATTGTAAAGTTAGCTAATCCCCAATATGGCTATTTCAGAAGGTCAACAATGGTTGGATGAGGCATATCATACTGATCAAGCACTATATAACTATCATCAATAAATGATTCCATGTAATAGCATTGCCAAGCCCAATACAGTTGATACAGCCCTTTCTAATAATTGAAAGAGTTTAATAAAAATATGTTGCATTCATTTTATTTTTTGCTTGCTCTGGCTTCACAGATAATATTCTCTGAAGACTACAAAAAACTAGAGGGACACTTTTGGCACAAAGACCATTTCTCTTGTATGGTCTGCAAGGAAACATTCGATGGAAGGTCTTATGTTCTGGACAATGCTCAGCTGCTTTGTGACCGTTGCAGCAAGGCCAAAAACAACTGCCGCTAGAGCAAAACACTCTCAGTTCTCTGGGTACTGGACTGTTAAATGCTGGTGTAGACAGGATCTAGATGCTAGCTTTCTCCCAAATTACTATAACCTATATATTACAAATCTTACTAGTTGAGTGCAGAATAGATCATGCTGACTTAGTCATCTCAAGTGCTACATTAGATATCTAATAACTCTCCAGTAGAGACTTAGAAAGAAGGCATGTTGGCAACCATTACTTTCAAGGCTGCAAAAAACAGTTGGCAAAAGAAAGAAATAAGTTTGTAACATAATTAATAAACAGTCTTGCATAAACAAATCCCGCTAAAAGAGATTACAATAGATCCAAGCCACAGTATAAAAATGCTCAATAAAAGCATGTTTGTATGCATCCAGATGTCTCTTCTGCTCACAGATAGCCTTCAGAAGTAAAATCTACATTGGGTGGCCCTGGTTCTTTAAACCAGTTGTGAGCCAAGTGGCTCCATGTCTGCTTTGCAAGTCTGCCCTATTAAATGCCACCTTACCTTTCCCCTTAGGGTTCTGTACGGCTTCCTTATATGTTGAGATGGCTACATTAAAATATATATGCCTTAATTTAGACAAGTGTTACAGCCAGGTAATAACCCAGAAGAGTGGATTATAAAAGTACTGGAATACTAACTAAATTTCTATATATTATTTATTTTTGTATGTTGTCATGGAGTAAAAAATGCATTAACAAGCATGTGCAATGGACATTATAAAATGCTGTCATGGGATGTATATATATATGACTACTTTCACTGTCTATTTTATGTTCTCATTCATCCATAAGTATCCATACATGGAATCTTTTGACTCTGATATTGTCATAAGACCCCCAACTCATTACATAATAGGCTTTGTCTGTGGCCCTATCTTCTGATACAATTTTAAGAGAGCGGGGGATCTGTGAATTCAGATTTCTATTTTTGGTTCACTCTCAGTCACAAGAAGGTTCCAAGGTCAACATGATATGAATGCAACATAAATGTATTCAACAAAGAACCATCATCGGATCTCACAACAAAAATACTGACTCATCCATCACTGAAAAAAAGTTGCAATTTAAAAATGTTTTTTTAAAAAAAGGTAAACTAAACAATAAATGTATTCCTTTATACAGTACATTTCCAAAATAAGAAAAAATGGCCATATATATATTTTTTATATATCAGTTTACTATTTTCTACAGGCAAAGAGAAGTCCTTTTATTTAATTATTTTGAATAATGTCAATGCATTTTTAAATAACAGTCCTGATTTTTATTTCAATGTCCATATCTCTCAATTATCAAATATTAATAGCGTTGGCTGCCCCTTTAATAAAGGAATTGATCAACCAACATTTTTCAGTGTATAATGCACCTTAGCAAAGATAACCTTTGCACAAACATTATTGTAAGATATATACATGTTAAAGGACCACTATAGGCACCCAGACCACTTCAGCTCTGGGTGCCAGGTCCCCCTAGTTTTAACCCTGCAGCTGTAAACATAGCAGTTTCAGAGAAAGGTTAATAAAGCCTCTAGTGGCTGTCTTCCTGACAGCCACTAGTGGCCGCTTCCGCAAGCCTTAATGCGAAAATCGAGGACACACTGGATGTCCATAGGAAAGTATTGAGTAATGCTTTAATATGGGCGGTTCGGAGCTGACGTCAGCAGGGGGAGAAGAGGTCAGTGTGGCTGAAGGGCGATGAGGAGGACCTAATACATTCTATAAAAAGCCAGAAGATCCTAAGTAGGATACAGGAGGGAATAACCCTATAAGTTTATTTTCCTGGCACTATAGTGCTCCTTTAATCATTTTTAAGTTTTCATATGTTCAATAAATCTACTAAAGACTCCGTTATTCATTGCAGTTTGAATTTTCAAAAATTCAAAGTAAATTTTGAAGTGTATCCCAGACTTTCAAAACTGCACATATCATTGCCATGGAGAATTCTTACAAACTGGCTATTTTGGGCTTACATTTGATTTTCAGTTTGAATAACTCTGCTAGTCTTGTTCAGTAACTCAATGGCACACACATACACACAAATTACAAATGTTAGGAAAAAGTGACAATTTGGAAAAATCATCCAGTTTTATAGCTTGGCTATAAATTCTCCTTAATTCTCAATTTAGTGAATACGCCTGGCCTTTCTTTTTCTGTCTTTAGTTTTCTTTCAGTTTTTTTTTCTTTCTTGTTTCAAATTATGTATTTATGAGATGCAATTTATTGACAAGGCATTTGCTGAAATGATGCATAAATACTAATAAAATCATGAAACCTGGTGAAAGTATATTTGAGTATATTTGTAACAGTAAGTCAACAAATAGCAGCCAACCAGTAGGAGAATCAATAATTAAAGTAACACTTCAAGCATTATAGCCATTACAGCTTGCTGTAGCGGTTATGATGTCAAGGGCAGTCTGGTACCCTCCCTTCCCCTCTCCCATTGTAAGTGATTAACCCCTTAAGGACCAAACCTCTGGAATAAAAGGGAATCATGACATGTCACACATGTCATGTGTCCTTAAGGGGTTAAATAATTCTAGAATGGCTTGACTGCATATCTGAGGTTAGCCTCACCTACATTCTATAAAAAGCCAGAAGATCCTAAGAAGGATACAGGAGGGAATGTACGGCTAGCTGGTTTTCCTATTGCACTCAGCCAATGAGCCACGCAGCCTGCTTAGCACAGACAGAGAGCTTCTGGCTGGCTCTCAATAGGAAGCAGTGGAGGCACTTGGTGGACCATTCTAAAACATTAGTCTTGTTACAATGGCAGGTCTCTAGGGAACACCGAGCACATTAACCACTTCAGAATTATGTATTGGTTATGGTGCTTGAAGTGTTCCTTTAATTGCAAAAAAAATAAAAAGGACTAGACATGCCAAAAGGAGCAACACAGGCAGGCCACCATACAAAGTCACCCATTTGCTTTTCACATTATTTCCAAAGTAATACCTTCACGGGGCAGAAATCACTTTGATGGCAATTTGATTCTTGCAAGTTACGGAAAATTATGTCTCCCAAGATTCCTTTCCCTCTAGCATTTGAATGTGTTCAAAAGTAGATAATTTCCCCTGAGATTTGATGTTTGTATCCAGAATATTCATATCAATGAATTATTCTCAATAAGTAGGGCAACTCCATATCAATTAATTATTCTCAATAATTAGGGCAGCACAGTGGTTTAAAAAAAAAAAAAAAGAGTAAGCAGAAAAGCTTGAATGACTGTGCCTCTACATTTATTTCTGAACTATTCGTATAATAGTTTTAATTATTTAATTTTTTGAGGAGAATCTGAATGTCTAGTCCAAAATAAAAGCTGGTACAGCTATAGGCAGATAGAAGGGAAGCACTTATTTTATCCGTAGTGAATCTTGTGTAGTAGATTACGCCGTCTGCTGCTAGTATAGCTTTTGCCCAGAAATGATTGCTTTTCCGTTGTACAGAAGTTCACAGCACTATGACAAATCCCCACTGCAACATTACCACAAATATTTGTAATGTAGCAGATTTTAAGACTCAGAAGGCCATGCCAGGTTTGGGTTTTAGGAATGTAGTTAATTTAAATTGAGAAAGATAAAAGTACATATATGTGGTTAGTAGACAAAAGTTTAAAGGAACACTTCACTGAATTTTATTTAACAATTTAGTTGATAGACCCCATAAGAAAATCTGTATTTAATTTTTTCTGCATGTTTTCTTTTGGGTTATGTATAAAAAAAAATAAAAAAATAAAAGTGCAAAAGTTGCAGAGCTGCTGTCTGCAGCCTTTGCAAGCCCTCCCCTATTTACACCAATTAGAGACCTCATAATGAGAATGGATTAAAGGACCACTATAGTGCCCGGAAAACAAACTAGTTTTCCTGGCACTATAATGCCCTGAGGGTGCCCCCACCCTCAGGGTCCCACTCCCGTCGGGCTGAAGGGGGAGGAAGGAGGTTAAACACTCACCTTTCTCCAGTGCCGGCCTCTCTCGGTGCTGGGGACTCTCCTCCTCCTTCAGTCGTCATCCGCTGAATGCGCATGCACGGCAAGAGCCGCATTACAGACCTGTGTTCATATATTCTATATTAATGTTCAACCTGTTTTCCATGGATAATAAAGCAACATAGTAATACATATGTCAGTTTGCTGTAGGACAGCTGTTTCCATTCCAATAGTTGCGCAGCAAGCTTGTGTTCTACACAGTGATCCTAGGTGAGATCTCCTGGCACATTTGCCATTTTGCCAACTAAATCTAAAATATGTTGGGATTTCTGGAAAATATTTCATGAGGAGTGGATGAGTGGGCTTTAAGGACTGAAGCCTGAATGTGGAGATGTTTAGTTTCAAATTAATTATTCTCTAGTTTCAAAAATAGTCTTGACTAATTGTGGGGGGCTGTGAAGCATACAAGTTTTAAGTCTTATTATACTGGCCCTCTCACATGCATTTACTATGCATCAGGACAATATATAGAAAACTGGAAATAAGAAGCATGTCTTTAACATGAGGAAAACAGGGCCCCACTGCCCACAATTAATTTAGTAGCCTCAATGGACCTACCTCTCCCGGTTTAGTAGATAGAACCCAATATGCAGTCACATACTTGGTGGAACAGAACTATGCACAGACAAGTATAAGGCAGAGAATTCAGGCAAGCAAAAGGTCGGTTCAGGCAGCGCAGGATCATAAACGTAGAACATGCCAGAGGTGGGATATCAGATAAGCAGACAGCAACAGGAAACAGCTTGATAGGAGTCTGGCGCACAGAATACTGAGCATAGATAGAAGATCTGAGCAGGATAATATGGGGGGTAGGGAGGGAGGAGCACATCTCACAGGTGTTCTACCTGTCTCCTGGGACCTCCTTCTGTGAAATGCCTACTTCCCCTTTAAGAAGCTTCGGTTGTATGTGCATGCGCGTCTAGAACATCTAGTCAGAGAAAGGATTTGGCTGATGCGGCTCAGAAGCCGCAGTCTCTGTCAGAGCAGCATGTTCCTGGGCATCGTGAAGAGGAATGGATGAGATAAGTGTCAGATCAGGCGGAGGGTCCGTGGTCGGGCTGGTCGGGGGGCTTTCATGTACCCTCCCCCCCAACCCGGAAGACACCGCCACCAGAGGCAAGAAGGAGCAGGCTTGGCAGGATGCAGAAGATGGGATCCACTAAGGAGGTGAGGGGCATGAACATTACCAGCAGATTCCCAAGATCTGTCTTTAGCACCATACTCCTTCCAATGTATGAAATACTTAAGGGCATCTCTGGGATGACCGGAATCAAGAATGCTGTGCACCTCATATTCGCCTTCACCAGAAACGTCAATTGGATCTGGAGGAGAAGGAGATATGGCAAGAAATGGGTTATCTGCCACTGGTTATCTGCCACTAATTTATGTTTTCATCTTTCAAGTAAATCCATAAGCCCTAACAGCAGTGTCTAGTAAAGCAGGAAGTCTATGGACAGGGTAAAAGGGTGTGCCACTGACGCAAACCACGTAACCTGCCAAACTGGGCGAACATGCCCAAAAAGAGGACATGTCTGCTCAAAGAATTGGAAGGCCAGCCTGGCATGAATGCATGTCAAGCTGTCTGCCAATTATGCAAGCTGGCCAACTAAGAGCATAGTATGCAGACAGCACCCTGAGCTTGGCATAAATGCGCCTAATGATGCACTCGCTTGACGCTTTCTAAGGACTGTCCCCTAGCACTCGCTGGTCCACTTGTCTCCTTACCTTCTTACTAGCAGGCAGAAACTCCTGGTATACAGTCTGTGTAGCAGATTTCTAATACCTAGTATAGGTATCTCTGCTTTATAATCCTTGCAGCTGAAGAAGCAGTAAAATATCCAAGACAAAATCCCCTAGTAACTAGAGGACACATAGTTCTGGGAGTACAACTGGAATGAATGGTTTAATGGGTCAAGTTATACATAGACCGTCAGCAGGGGGTCTCCATACAATTACACAAAACTTTCACCAATGGGAATACAGAACAGGTTACAGAGAAAGAACTACAAAGCAACAAAGTGATTCCTTACACTAGTTACCCCCTCCCTGTGTGCCAACACACCATGACAACAAAAAGTTATCTTGATTGGACCCCCTGTCCTTTCAGAGCAATCTCTGGTTACATCAACACAGCCCTTTGCTGAAGTAGATAGACTTGCTGGCTCCCTCAAAAGATGGTCACTCACAGTGCAGCATTTAACTTAACTAACACACAGAATACCTTTCACACCTAACTATACTTTATAGTTTATAGAGCTACTGCCTTTGTGGACCTACAGCTGTATATACAGACACACACACTGCCAAATCCTTTCTCTGACTAGATGTTCTAGACGCGCATGCACACACAACCGAAGCTTCTTAAAGGGGAAGTAGGCATTTCACAGAAGGAGGTCCCAGGAGACAGGTAGGCACACACCACAGTGACATCTAGACACATGGAAAACAGTCACAAAAATGGCATCGCAAACTTATGGCACGCGCAAAACAAATCAGGCCATCCATCACATATCTCTCCAATAGAAATGGACAGACCTGTGGCCAGACCCACAACGGGCCTGCAACAGGTCTGTTGGACCCCCCTGAGTCCACAGTCCAAGTCTTTGGGGATCTAATGTGACTGGACAAATGGGTGGGCATGGTACGCAGTGACTGTGTTCCGTCACAGTCTGGGACAGAGAAAAGCTGTATGTACTGAGTGTAGAAGAGAGGGAACATGCCACAGTGTTAGAGAGACCACAGTCAGCATTACCTTAACTAATTTCATTGTCAGCCAGTAGAGTTGAGTGAACCCGAACATTACGATTTTTTGACCCCGGACATTTCAGTAACAGTTCGGGTTCGAGTTCGGTGTTCGGCGATTTAATGGTGCGTTTTGAAAAGCTGCAGGGCAGCCAATCAACAAGCGTTTGACTCGTGTGCCCTTAGAAGCCATCACAGCCATACCTACTAATGGCATGGCTGTGATTGGCGAGTGCAACATGTGACCCAGCCTCTATATAAGCTGGAGTCACATGAGCTCTTATTAAACATGTCTAGTAAACAGTAAGCAGCCAGTGGCTGCTTAAAAAATAAATAAAAACCCCTGAACGGCGGGTGGGGGCCCTAAAGTAAAATAAGGGGGGGACCTATTGTCCTCCCCCCCTGACCCCCACTCCTGAGTGGCGGATGGGGGCCCTAAATAACAATGAGGGGGAGAACCTACTGTCCTCCCCCCACAGCCCCCACCCCTGAGCAGTGGGTGGGGGCCCTAAGTAAGAATGATGGGGGGACCCACTGTCCTCCCCGCGGGCC